CAGTAAGACTAGAGGGAAGGCAGCTAGTCATCACCACCCACCGCCAACTCTTGGGCTACTCTTTACCATCGAACAGTGGGATTGACCATGACATTATAACTGCCCCCACAGCTGTAAGGGCGAGCATGTTTGGTGTGACGAAAATTCAAACTCACAACCCTCAAATTGTGAGTCAAGTGCCCTAACCACCTGGCCATGCTGGGCCCTTCTTGTAGAAAAAAATTACTTTATGATAAAAGTTTAAGTCAATAAATAACTTGCTTGGCATCACAGTTTGCCTGTACTCTAACATAATGACAGCATTAAGCACAGGTTTGAGTTCTGATTTTAAAATAACTGTAACTTTCAACACAAGTATATTTTTATATAAAAACACTGAGATACAAGTTTTAGATTAAGAGAAGAAACTGTTTCCTATTTTAAACTCTTCATAAATATCTTAATGATGGAATGAATATTGGAGAGTAATAGAAAAACAAACAATTAATTTTGTTCAAAAGCTCATATAACAAACTAGCCTTGAGTAACAAGTCTCAAAATTAGGTTCAGCCCCAACTGAACTAAAGCAAAAAAATGTACACAAGTTACAGTATTAATTTATGTCTTTATCGAATATAGGCCATACTTAATAAAGGCTTAACTAATGTTAGGACTAATATAAGTGGACTTAGATTACAGTGTCTGCAATTAGAATTATTTTGTATTATTCTAGAAATCCTGTATTTAAAGAAGTACTATTGCAATAAAGATACTGATTTGGACACAAAAGTTTTGCTGGTCTCTGCTAGTCTATGTTATAATGAGTAATGCACTGAATTTTGTTCTTCAGAAAGAAGTGGTAAATAAATTAGAGAAGACCAAGAGAACAAATGTCAAAATTTTCATACAAGGAAAGATTGATGAGTTTTTATATATTTCCTTATAAACTTAAAACTTATATAATGTTAAACTTTTATTTAATAAATACACTTTAATGCTAAGTTTATTTACATACATTGATAATAAAGTAGATTAATTAAATTTTTAATGTAACTCACTAAAAGATTGTGACATATGCAATTTTGACCTACCTGTAGAGAGAGAGAGAGGATTACGAAAGGATTATTTTCATCTTGGAAGTTGTAACTCCTCCCAACCTTCTGTATATTAATATGTATTTTGACAAAATAGTTTCAGATTTTTTTTTCAGTGATGGTTTTCCTTGGTTATTAAAGACTCAGTGGTTAAACTTGCATCAGCAGTTCAAGTCTAATTTAGTGTGATAATTCATCAGTAACTTTAAGAGTCAATAAAATTGGCCCAAGCAAGCAGTCAGCACAAAAATTAAATGTCAGATGAAAAAACAAATGTATTAAACCTTTTATCGTGCAACCTTCTTATCTTTTAAATAACTAAATGATATTTAACTCAAATGTAAAAATTCTAATTCAAAGACAGCCAAACACATGAGAGTTCAAGCTTGTTAAATGTAGTGTATCTTGTTTTCCACAACTAGCTTTATTAACACATTTTTCTAAATTATTTATTTGTCCATCATTATGTTGGTTACAAGGTTCTTAATAAAATACATTACATGATTTGAGCAAAAATATCAACAATAATGCAATTAATCCAACTAATTACATCTATAGACCCAATGTATTTTACATTAAAAACTGAAAGATTTTCCCTTTTTTTAAGTTTATCATTCACACTGAAATTTGCAACAGATAAAAAACATGAAATTACCCAATATGATGCAACGTGTGAATCATACCAGTAGTGAACAGTACAAAAACAAGTCTGTAATTTAAGGATTAGAATGACATTCCAAATTTTCATAAACAACTGAAATTAACATTTTCCTAATCTGAAAATGTATTTCCAAACATACTTACTTCCACTGAAACTTATAGCTATTTTTCGATCTTCATCTTTGCCATCTAAACATCGTGGTCGGTCGCTTGCTCCAGTTTTTATACCCACTCAACTGCCCTCTGCAATATATATGATTTTCAAAACTTTACACTGGCCCTCACATACCCTCTATGTAGGTATTGTATATAAGCACTGTATGTCGCCAATATCATCACTTTTTTTAGACTTACCCCATCCCAGTCATTAACACTGACTCTTAGTGGGGAGGAAGGGAGGGAGAGTGTCAGCAGAGATAAGTATGTTTGGAAATACATTTTCATATTAGGAAAATGATAACTTCCAAAACATACATACCTCTGCTGACATTTATAGCTAGAATCCCACATTGTGAAGGCAGAGGGGCGGTGAGAGCATAGTTCATACAGAAAGTGTCTCCATAGAACAAAAGTGTACCATGAGAAGTGATACCCACGCAGGGAAAACTGCACTACATCCAGAACGGGTATGCTCTTCACCCAGGACTACAGAAAAATGAAAAGGGTGGAATATTACACAAGTAAGTATGATGGGCCAGCCCTAACCATGCAGCCGACGTTCCACGACTCTGGGATGGATTTAAGAGGTCATGGTACCCATATCTCCTTGGTGATAAGAGCAGTTGGATTGCAAATATATATATATCATTGTGATTGGATCCCCACCAGCAGCCATGGAATGATGCATTTGAACAACCAGATTTACAAAAGAATGAAAGCAACACCAAAGTGGACAATCCTTTTGATCAACCTGAAGAAGTCCAGAAGGCAACATCCCAGGCTTGGATTGAAGGGATCATATATTCCATACTCCACCCAAGGTCCAGAACTCATCCGGCCTGGATTTACGAACAGTCATTTTCATTCCCCAACCAAGTGGGCAAGGAGAATTCCACTTATCCATGGAATTATGGAGAGGATGTAGAACACTGTTCCACCAAGGGCCTAAGATGGGACTGCATTGCATTCGGATTTACAAGGAGATAGTGGACCCCCTGCATGAACAATCTAAGACCTGACAGTGTTCATAAGAGGGTCCAAGCACACCCCCATTGGATAGCTAAGCATCAAATCTGGACCAGCTTTATGAGTAGGCTCACGCATTGGTTGGTCCTGCTCCTACCAACATCTGGGAAAACTTCCAGGGAACCAGGTAGGAGGGTCCCTAACCTTGCCCTATTCTCCCAGAGTGGAGAAAACTCAACACTCCAAAGGAAAATCTTCTGTCCACCACCCCAGCAACTGGGAACTGGGTGTGGTAAGGACTCCCTAGCTCCACTAGTATTAGTAGGGGTAACATGTGTATGGTGGGAAGTCCTGAGGAACAGGCCTCTGAAGACAGTGCAACAGGTGAACCACATTCCCTAAGTTTTAAAAGCAAATTGATCTCGACTGATTCAGCTCTAAGATCAGTAGGGACTGGCAAAATCCCCTGTATCATTACTCATGATAGTCCATGAGAAGCAGTCCACTGGATTTATATTGTGAAATAATACTACCATCTAGAATTGCATAAAGATGGTGCTATAGAACACCTCATCTCAACAGAGCCTGTTGCAACCATGAACCGATATAAAGGTTGTTAGTGCAGAACTTAAAAAAATACAAGCACACCTGACTGGGCAACACTTGCCACTGAGTGGGATCCAAAGGAAATAGAGAGGGACCCTAGAAGAAAAAACTGTTAGTCAAGTAAGAAAGTTACACACCTACTTGTTAAAATCTAGCGGAGGTAGTCAACACAGCCAGAGAACAGTTCAGACAAGGACATTGATAGATGCCACATCTGGTGAGAAGTGATGTGGAGTATATTTCAATCTATAACAGATAAACCCGAATAGGCTATAGGAATCATCTCCCAAAGCCCCCTGGTTAATGTAATGGGTGATGAATCAAGGGACACTGCAGGATCCCACTAAACAAAAGCCCGGTGCATAGGGCCCCTGAACAGTTCCGTACAAGCCACAGAACATCTAAGTGCTCTGACTAGACATAAAAGATCTGGGTATGATAGATTGTAAAGATGAGAAATGTCTGGGAAAAGAATAGGAAAAAAGAATTTATTCCCTTCTCTGGCAGCAAGTGTTCAGTTGGAAGGATCTGTCTGGATAGAGCAAAAAATAGGTGGAAGGATAGAGTCTACTGAACATGGATGACAAATAAATCAGAAATGCTGCATCCAGATGCTAACAACAGTAGAAATATAACTCAAGGGAAAGGTGATACAAAGAACAGGAGGCCATAGGTTTGAAGTGATAAAGTGATAATGCATGAAATAACAAGTCCCAATTAGGCAATTGAAATGGTCGTTTGGGATGAAGAATATGAAAGAATCATAAAACAAGATAGCACAGGAGTCAAAAACCTTTGTATAAATAGAAGGGTGAAAGGGAGCAGAGAAAGATGTTGTATATAATGCAAGGTAGAAGCCAAACCTTTCAAAAATCCATGTCAAAAAACTTGAAACTATAGAAACTGTTGAATGAAGTGGGTTAAAGGCTCACTGAAGCCACCACTGACAAATTGTAGTCCATTTCCATCGATAGATTGCCATAGTAGGTTGATGGAGGATATAGTCAAATAAATGGAAACTGTAGATTTTTGAACCCTTTGGTTGGGCAAAGGACTATATAACTTCCATGCATGAAGCTGGAGTCATTAAACATCCAGGTGTTGAATGATGGACTGAGGTTGTCTCAACAAGGATGAATGAAGAGGTAGTGGTAAACATTCCTGGAGCAACTGAAGAAGAGGAAACTATTTCTGAGCAGGCCAAAAAGGTGCTGACAACAGAACCCAATATGGGGTGAAATTAATCAATCACAGGCAAGAGTCTGGGTAAGAGATGAATAGGAGGAAAGGCATACAAATGGAATCCTGTCCAGTCTTGACTGAAAGCATCTATCACCAAAGCTTGTGGATGTGGAATTGGAGACCAGAACTGTAGGCTAGCATTCCAATGGGTTGTAAAGGTGTCTATCATTGGAGAGCCGTACTGAGAACAAATCCATTGAAAGACCACCTGATGGAACATCGATGCTGGTGGGAGAATTTGATGGGGTCAAGAAAGGTGATCTGCTGTCAAAATCATAATCCTTTGCACATGACAGGCCAAAAGATGGATGTTATTGGAATGAGTCAAAAAAGAAGATCCAAAGCCTGAAAACCAAGACATCAAGAATGAGAAGTTCCCTAATGAGAAAGATATGAAACCACTGTGGAAATCATTGCTAGATGTACTGCAAGGAGTTTGAAAATGTTGATATGCAGAGTAGATTCGTAGTCGGTCCAAATACTCTGGAATGCCTACCCCCAGAAGAAAGGCACCCCATCCGAGAAGAGAAGCATCCATGAAGAGATGGATTTCCACACGAGGAGGTGGTATCCCTACCCTGATATTTGTGTTGTTCCTATCTAGTCACCACTTGAGATCTGCAAATTGTTTGAGCAAAGAGACTGTGTGATTCAAAGGATCAGTATGCATGAGCCACTGCCCGTGAAATGGCCACTGAAGGGATCTTATATGGGCCTGATCTAATGGTATGATGATTTTTGGGAAGCCCAAATCTCCAAAACATACAGAACCATCCATGCAGAGGGAGAAGGTGACATAAGCAAATGCCTGACAATCCCTTCCCTAGTGTGAAGTCTGAGTGGAGAAGGTTAAGCTCGACTCAAAGTGCATTTAAAAAGATGGAGTTGGTGAGAGAATAGATTTTTCCAACCTGATATAAAGTCCACTCTTCTGGTATAGAAAAGAAGAATCTGTGAATGTAGTGTGACAACGTGACAGGTTGGTGCCAAAAGAAGTCAATCTTCCAAATAACGATGCATACACAGACCCAGAAAATCAAGATGCTGCTCAAAGGCCTGTACTACTTGGCAGAAAACATATGATGCTGAAGCAAGTCCAAATGGGAAAGCTTGGAACTGCTACATCTGTCCCTCATGCAAAAAATGTAGAAATCGACAAGAAGACTCTGCTGTGGGGATGTGAAGGTAGGTGTCTGTAACATCAAACTTGGTCATCTAAAGATCTGGTGTGAGGTGCCATTGAAGTTGAAGTAAAGATTCCATGGTGAGACGAGGAGGCTGTAGGAAGAGATTGAGTTGAGATAGATTGAGGATAAGACACCAATCTTTAGTGTTCTTGGTCACCAGAAAAAAAAACAAGAATAAAAGCCTAGATGAACGGGATCGACCTTCTGAATGGATAGACACCAATGCCACTGGTGCCATTCCAACCTGAAGATCCCTGAGAATATGGACAGAACCAATTCTGTAAACCAATAGGACGAGATGTTGAAGGTGGGGCTGGGAGACAGAAATGATCAATCCTCCAGAATTACCCGTTGATGTAGAAGAGAGACGAGCAGCCAATGACGATAAAGAAAACTGCAAACGTGCCAGATAAAATTAGGCTTTGAAATTTTCAGGGTCTCTAGCAAACTAGTAAGGCTGAAAAAGGAATGCCTCCAGGAAATCATGAAGAGGAGTATCACAATACAGTAGTAAGAGTTAAATGAATCCACGAAAATGGAGATCTGGTAAGAGGGATAACAGGTTATAACCTGGAACCCCATAGATCCAACAACAAATCCAACTGTTGAGTGTCCAAATATAGTAAAGCCAGACGATGATAAGCTGAGGCATGTTGTTCTGATAAATGAGGGAAGCAAGGCAGAGCCATACTCTCTCGTAATTGCATTGCAAACACCCCAGCATACACGGCAATATCAAGGGAAGGAGGAAGAACTAAGTAATCCCCCTGAGATCTATCTGACAATAAGGCAGGGTAGACTCAAAAGCAAGGGGGTGAATCCCCAAAGCTTCACAAGCTCGCGTAACTAACTGCAAAAAAAGAGCCAGAAGGTGTCCGATCAGATGAGCCCCCCAATAGAGGCAGCTCTATTGAAAGAAAGAGCAGAAACCAGTGTCTAAAATCTCCCCAGTATATTCAGGTTCATGATGAAAAATCAACTCTGAACCCCCAGGCCAAGGAATCCAACTCATCTCGAATCAGGTAACAGAGAGTGCCTCCCAGACTACCACCAGGCAACAAAGGAGGAATGTATGAGGTCTGGTTAACCCCTGTGCCAGAAACCATCACATGGGAATTCATACCTGCATTTTTTTTTTGAACCGGAAAAGAAAACCAACAAAATATCGGCAATGGGAAAAAAAATGTACCAGACTACTGTCAAAATGCTTCAAAAGCAAATGTTAACCACGAAACAAAACTCCTAGCGCTTTGTCGAGAAAAAGTGATTATACTGTCAACATACAATGCTTATATACAGTACCTGCATAGAGGATATGTGAGGGCCAGTGTAAAATTTGGCAAATTATATATGGCAAAGGGCAGTCAAGTGGGGTATAAAGACTGGAGCAAGAGAACACAATGTTTAGATGGCAAAGATGAAGATCAAGAAATAGCTATAGGTGTCAGTGGAGGTATGTATGTTTGGATTAAATATTACATGAGCAATAATGTATACTTACTTAAAAATAACTCAAGATACAAGTGAACTGTGTCTACAAAAAATACTTACAGTGTATTCTTCCAGAGCAGGTTTAGACTCTGTGGATTTTTTCTTGAAACTGTTAAGACTTCCCAATTCTGTAAGATTCAGAATTTTTTTTTTGCAAAAAGTTAGCACTGAAACTTAAACCAACAAACCTACTCAATTTAATATCAATAGCTACACACACTATAAATTGTTACAAATGGAATAAGCAAGTTCATAATGTGATAAGAGGAAGACAAAAGTATGCTGAGTCCTGATTATTTAAGACCAGTTACAGATTAGAATCAAAAACTCACATAAGTTCTTAACTGTACTTCATCCGGAGCTCTACACTCTATAGTAAAGTTATCAGTTGAAATTGCAGCATAGTAAGCTGTAGTTGATACAAAATGATAAAACCATATAACCCAAGCACTTTTGAAAGGTGGACCTTTCTTCTTCGGGGGCAAACTTATTGAACCAACATGTTTTTCTGACATAATGAATATAAGTTATACTTATTATACTACACAGTCTTATTAGTATTATTTTATTCTCATGAATAGCAAGGACTTGAAACATATTAGCCACAAAAAAGTATCACTTAAACTTAAGAAACAAACCTTTAAATCAAAACAAACCTTTTATTCTAAAAATACCTTTCTCTTGTTTATCTTTTAAAATAATATTTTTCGGTTACTTTTAAGCAATTTATTCTAAAAATTGAATGTTCAAAATATTAAATAAAACTCCTAAATATCACTTATCACACTATACAATTATCTATCAGACATGGAACTTATTTCTTAAAAATATCTTTATGAATATTAAAAAAAAAAGATTTCAAACAGGAAAAGTAGCTAACAAAAAATATATTTCCTAATTAATACTACAAATTTGGAAATCACAAGACAGAGAAAATCAGTATTAACATTTTTAACTGAATAACTTTGTTTGTTGCAATCAAAATATTTAGCTCTTGCTTCTTTATTAAATCAGACATGTCAATATCTGGTTATAAATCTCTAATCCAAGTATAAAGGAGCTGTTACAAACAATTAATAATTGTTCATAAATTTGCTATAATAAAGAAAATTCCAATAGCTATAAGTAATGTGCTAAATGAAAATAATAATACTTGCAGTATAAATTAGTGAGTGAGTAATCAAAAACACAAATAAAATAAAAAGCAAATTTCAATAAAGACAAAACTACTCCAAAATAAATGTTATATTAACTTTATATTTAACATGCAAAAAAATATCTAAAAATAATAATTTTCAGCTACCAGGCTTCCTCAGAGAAAATCATAAATTGCAAAACAAAAAGCATATATGGTATAAACTTATAAAGCAATTGTAGATATTGGTGTATTTAACCATTTGCCTAAGTGTTAGCAAAATCAAGTTAAAAGTCCTAGCTTTTGTTTATATGGTTAACCCTATCTAGTTCTATTAAGCATTAATATAACTTCAAATACTCTAATTACCTTTTTTTCCTATTACATTGTTTTTCTTATTTTGTTTTTTCCCTTTTCTTTCACATTTTTCTCCTTTATTCTCTTGGTCCTTAGATGCATCCCTGAAATCAGATATTTAGTGTTGTTAAACATATGAAAGTTCCACAAACTTTCAGAAGCTCTTTTGATACTTAACATATATTGTTCCTAATATAAAAAAATAACTAAATTATTACAAGCTTTGAATACAACAATTTATAACAACTATTATTATTTTTTTGGTCATTAATCACTCCCACTGTTACATAATCAGCTGAATATATGCTTCTGTACAATGGTGGGTGGAGGGGGGAAGAGGGAAATATTCCCAAGAAACTTTAATTATTTTATGTATGTAAAGTTTAAAAGTTCATAAGCATTGCGTACATTAGTATTATTGGTTTGTTAACTTTGAGTAAACAACCTTACTCCAAAAATATAAAAGTGGCCATCTATTTCCACAACTACATTTGATAATTTTAGAATTAAAAGGAATTTCAAACAAGTACTTACCTCTGATATACTGAAGGCCTTTCCTTTTGAGTTTGAACTCATGTCATCAACAAAAACCTTCTGAATGTACTTTACACATTGCAGAGCATGCATTACCTCCACATAATTCTCCACTCTCCCACCTTCCATGTTACTTATTGTGCAAGCATCATTATCTGTGAGCACTAGAACACAACAGTGGTGTAACACAGGCAGAAAATTCTGATATTTATGTGGAACAGCCAATATCATCACCCTGGCCCTGGAGAGAAGCAATGGTGAAAAGAGAAACAGATCCACAGGAAGTAGAAGAAAAGAAGAAACTCACAAATGAGCCATACTTGATGATAATTGAGAGTACTTAAAGAAATTTCAATAAACAATATGATTAAGGATAAACTCCCACAGACAGTTATCTTTAGTAAGCACAATCCATGGGAAATGTCACACAGAGAGAAGCCAGTGCTTCCAAATCAGAAGATTTGTTTGACAGATAGAGAAGTATACACACTTGAAACTCGAGAGATTGCAAATTAAATGAGATGGATGAACAGTTCATGAGCGAATGTTAATATGAAATCTCAGGTGAATGAGATATTGAGTATGCACAAGCGGAGAATTGGATTCATGAATAACCAACCCAGAGAAAAAGCTGAGATATCAAGTCAATGCGAAGCAACCACAAAGTAAGAATCCTCTAATCATCCATGTAATGATGACAATTAATATTAAGTGTAAGTTGAAGACTAGCTAATAGCGTGATTATATGTGTGTGAAGAAATTGTGTCAAAACTGGACCAAAAAGGGAGGACCATGAACTAATAAACCACTCCACCATGTAAAAAGACAAAGATGGATGAATAAGAACATGTAAATAATATCATTGGAATACCAAGTCTTCATAACAAATGAGATGGGAAAGATCTAAGACCAGTCTCCAATCTCCTGTTGTGTGTATCACCCAAAACAGATTAAGTAAAAACCCTGAGGTAACATAGTACAACATCAATATCACTTTGTTCTGGGAAAGACAAATTTAGATGATGACTGATGAATAGAGAAAATGAAGTGGAAAATATAATGAACCCAAAGAACATGAAGCAAAAAGTCCAAAGATAAACAAAAATCTGAGCTAACCCCCAAAAGTCCAGACAGAGGAGTCACACAGGACAAAGTCAATGAGTGAGTCATAAAGATCCACTTTACTCACAGTGACCCTAAATCACACTAAACAGGGCACAAAATTAATGCCAGATCTCCAGAAATATCCGGTAATTTTGCTTGGGGTCCAGTAAATAGTACATGAGCACCGGCCCCCATGTCAGGTAAAAAATAGTTATAGTACATTATCAAAATCATGGAGAAAAATTGTTTTATGAATAAAATTTTTTAAAAAGGCATATTAATCAATGAACAAGCATGGCTCAGTCTTGTTAGCATGTGTGAAAGCTCTGTGTAGTCTCTTCCCAGAGGTGCTATGTGCCACCACGGCACCAGCATCATTCTTACACGAATAAATATGATATTTGAGTAAAGAATGTACCACTCATATCACGTACAGAAGACAGAATAAAAAACACTTTTTTACACAATCAATTTCTCTTGTTATTAATTATTCAAATTAACTTCTGTTTTTTGACAGAATACTACTTCCTGAATAATGTTCATGCAAAGTGCAACTAGGTTGCAGGTAATCACATATTTATGGATACTTGTAGATATTGTTAATAGATGTTGCCATAATATATTGCCATTTTTAACAGGTTTGACAGCATTGACATGGGGATAAATCTGAACCAGTAAATAGTAAATTAATAAGTTATAATAATGGTGAAACCCACCAAAGAAGCCCATTTATCAAGCTACTTAATTATGACCTCTGATGAGATGTCCCAACAATCAGACGCCACTCACGCTTAGCCATAGAGAGACTATAAAAATTAAGCACCTAACAAATGGCAAAAAAGGTAATTTCAGGCAGGCCTACTATTAATAAAATAGATATCTTAAATTAATATGTTGATAATTTTAAATGATGTGCAATCATTTTTGTTACAATAAACAATCAAACATTTGTCTAAACCTGAATGCACTGCCACTTTAGTAAGAGTCAACAGATTATTTTTTGATACATTTTGACAGAAATATTAACATCATTGGGCAAAATTTAGGCCTATTTGTACACATTAGTAAGATCTTTCTATTCAGCCTAACCAAAATAATAAAATACTATACTGAAAAAACTTTAGAATTACATTAATATAATTGTGTTTTTAAAGTCAAGATAAACAAGAGTAGAGGAGGTGGTATAAACTGTAACAGTATTTATTTGGTATCAGCAGAGCTTATCACTTCAATTTCTATATAATCTTAATTTCTTTGAATTATGGTTGAACTAAAACTGCATTCAAAACTATGAACAATAAGTCTTTATTTTCAATTATCATGGCAAAAAGAGTTTCCGTGGCTATCTCGAGATAATGATGGGAAAGTTTTCTGTACCATGTGCAGGAATTCCAGGGATATTGACCATAGCTCTCCATTTGTGAATGGTGTTGAAAGTTTTAAAACAACAGCATTTACATATCATGCTAATTCTAAAAGACACATCAAGTGTGAGGCAGCACTTACAGCTAAAAAAGCTAAACCAGGACTTCATATGGACTGTTGAACACCAGTCAAAACATGGTGCTGACATGGGTGCAAGCTATTGCAGTGACATGCAATGTGCAACTTTCTGCAAATATATTAGTGAAGCTGCAAGACCTGAAGAAGTTTCCTGGCTGAGTGGAGCACATTTTTACACCATTATGGTGGATGGACCCACTAATACTGCTATACATGAAGTAAAATTACTATATTTAAGGGCAGCTAATCATGGTGAAATACAGTGCCCTTGAGGCATATCACAGTTTCTTTGTGAGACATGCTCAATCTTTCAGCAAAATTTTCGTAAGCCTGGAAAACAGATGCAAAGTATGATGTATATTTAAAAAATGTTTAAACCTTTTAATTATGCATCTTAAAACATAACTAATACATAATTAACTAACATTTAATAGTAAGACCTAAATACAATTTAAACTGTATCTCTAACTATAACACACTTAGATTAGAAACAGCCGTAAGTGCTAAATTTGATTAAGCAGCCAAGGATACAATAGTCAATTTCGTGTACTCTGTGACGAAGACTTAGCACCAATTTCAAAATAACCATTGTTAGTTTATACTGCAAAATCAGCTCTTTCTAACTGGTATATACACATTTGTGTATGTAAGGTCTACATGAAAGGGATAAAACTCAAACAAGTCTGTTGAAGGTGGGCATGGCAGCTGTCAGGGGTTGAAAAAATTTATTACTTCTTTTAACTGTATTCATTCAGAGTACTTTGAAAGGAATGAGTCAAAAGGTTATGTAAGAATCTTAGTGGCTAGATGTACCACTACTCTATTACCAGGTACAGAGAGCCAAAGTAGGGATTTTTTCATAGCTCATTGGTTAGATGACAATACATCTGAAGTTTTAATTATTTTTCAAAGGTTTATTTTGTAATGAAGGACTTAAAATTTGGATAAAATAAAACTTTGATCATTATACACATTATAATATTAAATTCATTCACATACAGTGATATTAAATGTGTTTAATAAAATTTTTAATGTAACACAGTGACTTGCACAGAAAAGTATTTAAAGGGGTTCCCATTGCAAAAGGGTTAACACCAGCTGTGGGAGGAGGGCACAATATGTTGTGCATGCTCATCATAACTCTACTGTCAGACTCTTGGACCAACACCAGCTGTGGAAGGAGGACACAGAAGTCATGACAGAAAGTATGTAATATTAAGAGTTCATGCCTGGATTTGACTGGTCAGTCACCCACTGCAGAAGGAGAGCGCAATTTGTTAGCATGTGCTCACCTCAACTTAACAGGAGATGACTGCAGAAGGAGGACACATGTGTATGGTGTGTTCACCTTGACTCTACTGGACAGATGTAGACTACAGGATAAGGGTATTGTATCATATGGTATGCTTCTGGCATGTTGTAAGTATAATTATATGAGGGGGTACCTGCACTACACTGACAATGTCACCACTACCCCCACTTCCCCCTGATTTGCACCCTCTTATTCTAGCCCTAGCAGTTAGGTCCCAATCAGTGAGGGTTCTCCATGGTCCATCACGCCAGCAGCTAGATAGTGATAAGGGTCTCCCATGCTTCATTCGAAGAAAAAGAGGGAAGGAATTTGCAGTGGAGATACCCCATCGGTCTTGTTTCATTTTACTGAAGACAGTGCAACAGGTGACCATGTAACACTATTTTGAAAATCCAGGAATTGATAATCTGGGAAGCAGACAAATCACCCTATGGTGCTAGCTTTTTCCACGATAGATCCTGTAATAGGTAAAAACTAGATTGGAAAGTAGTCAGATACCAGAATACCATAAGGATACCTCAAGTGGTCTTGCAGAACACCCCATATATGGAGCCAGGGTGGATGGTATGAGCACTTTCCATTATCCTGGCTCAACCAGGAATTTTGGGAAATAAATGTACCTTGTGAGGCATCATCAGCCACTCAGAGGGATCCTATAAGCAAATGTTATTATCCAAAGGCGAATGTACTCACCTGTCTAAAGACGGTGAGTAGACTGTAGGATGGCGAATGGAGGCAGGCAGTAGCCTTCAGGAGTTGAGACAACCAAATGATGAAGAGAGTGGGCAACAAAGTTATATGAGGCAGTCCACATGCCACAAGGATCTCATCCAGTGGCCACCAGAAATAAGCAATGAGAAAATGAGAACAGATAGGACAAAATCTGTACCATCTGCAAGTAGACCAAACATTGAAATTGTGGTAATGTAGAGTTGAAGATAGAAACCCCAAAAGTGAGAGTGACAAGCTAAGTAGGAACAAATGGCACAAACAAGGCACAAAAGTGTGTCTGGGTTCAAACAATCATAGAAGAGAGAAATAAAAGGAAGGGAGAGAAGAGAAATGGAGCAGTCTCCTCCCAAGCAGTTGAAGACCAGTCCTGAGAAATAAGAATATAAGGATGATGAAAAAGGGTATGAGTTGAGTCAATAGCATAAAGGTCTGAATGATGGTGATCACAGGCAAATAGTAAGAGGAATATATCTGAAGAGAAAAGAGGTAGAAGTTGCAGGTTACCAAGGTTCGAAGGGGCATGGGTAAGAGCATGCAGGATAACACTGACATCACAGTCAAGCAAGGGAATAGAGCAACATGTGTATGGAAAAGGAAGGACCAGAATAAAGTGGAAAGGGTTAAGGGGGAACACCTTGTGGTATTGGAAAAGGTGAAATGTTGAATACAAGGTTGCCTGATAACCAGCTATACTGTAAGTAGATAAACCCTGTCAAACAACCATGTAAAATGAAGTGAGATGTTCAACAATAGGATGATCAGGAGGAAGGTAGCAACAGATGGAACAATGCCAAAAGCCACACCCCTTATGCAAGTTGATGGACCAGGTAGAAAAAAAGCCCAGAATGGGAAAGAAAAAGATTACCAGATTGAAAAGTCCTGTTCAATGGGCAATGGACCAGACAAATCTAAACATGAAGGTAGAAGGACAAGATCCTTTGATGAAAAGAAGATGGGAGATATTGAAGCAACAGTGTGTATAATTAGCAGGAGAACAGGGGGTTGGACTGTCAAATGGCATAGAGAGGGACCCAAGATTAAGCCAGCCAGAGGGATACCACCAAAAGAACACAACAAGGAGTGTCTCGAGTCAAGTACAGGAGAGAAAGGTGGGTGAACATTATGACCAGACCTGGCAGAAAGAAGAGACAGTTAGGGCCAAGGAATGGAGAACAGATGATCAGAAGAGAGGAAGCATGAAATTGAGAGGGATGGCAAGGCAACAATGAGTGGAGTTCCCAAGAAAGTGCCCCAATTGAAACTTGAGGAGAAGAGACCATTCTGTGAGCAGAACATGGTGCAGCCAAGAGAGGAGGTCCTCAACCTGGTTCATGGTAGATGAAGAAACCAACACATTGAGAATTGACCCAATAAGGAAGGTCCGGGGTTTAAAAGCAAGAGGTCCTGGACTGGATTCTCCTCTTGGTGGTTAACATAGGAAAAACCAAGATGTCGGTGAAATGAAATAAAATAAAATGATCCACTAGGAGTGGTAATAATGGTATCATGCCCAACAGTCTACCAGAAGTTCAAGTGCTTTAAAAATGGAGAGAAGACTCATCCTGGGTCCATGTAACAGATGCAAAACAGTCATTCAGGGATGCTCCCCAACAAGAGGGAGAATAATGGGGGAAGAGGTGTAGTTGTGGTTTCGGTAGTGGAACAGAGCTGGTGATACTGGATTGGTCTAACCATCCATACAAATAATAGAATAGAAGAAGGGACGGGAAAACCATTGAGCACAAAGATGCACATGAAGTATCACTCTGATCCCACAATGACCAACTGAGGAGGTGCATATGTTTGTGACCCAAAGGGATAAGCAGTCCCCAAGAAGCCATGATCTCCAAACACTAAACCTCTCATGCAGAATGAGTAAGAAAGGCACAAATAAGTTCTACAGCTCACAAGCAGATGGGAGAAGGCTTATCCCAGCTGAGAATGAGTTGAAAAACACTTCCAAGTGAATAAGATAATGAGCAGGAATGAAGAATTGTTGGAAGTGGTGAAAATCACTGCCTCCACAAGATGTTGGACACAGATAAGAATAGAAGGAGGAAAGGAAACAAGACAGGGGCTGAATGGAAAAGGGAACTGGAAGGTCCATGGGTAAAATGTAGAATAACCCCTGTGTGGATGGAAAAGTGTTACCACAAGAACTCAAACTGTAACAGCCAGGCATCCATGGGACCAGACACAGTGGAAACAAAACAATCAATCTCAATGAAACTAACACCATGTAAAAGAGGAAGTCCAGAAGTGGGAATAAAAAGTGGGGAACTACAGACTAAGATGAGGTCCAATGGTGGAGGGTAGAGTTGGGGACAGTGTGGAAACAAAGTACAAAACCAAGGATTGATGACAGGCAGAGTCAGCTTGTGAATCAATCAAATCAGGAATACTTCCACACTTCAGAGCAAAGAAAGAGGCTAGGGAAAATGCTCATAGAAGGAATGAGCAGGGAATGGCCACAGTGGAGAAGTGAAGGGAATGAGAATAACCTGCAGATTTCTTTGAGCACAGTGGAGTGTCTCAGACTTAAGATGTAGTGAGGACAGGTAAAAAAAAATCAGGTGAAAACAGGAGTATTGGATACTGGAGGGCAAAATCAAGACCATATAGCCCACCCTTCAACAGGCAAGGGCAATCCCAAATGTGAGAATTGTGTAAAGGGATGCAGAATGACAAAAACTGAGGAAATAAGAATCAGGCAGATGAGGAGGGTGAGGCTTGAGGATGAGGAAATGTAGGTGATCCAGGGAAGGTAAACAAAATGAGTTAGGCTTAGGATTAAGAAGTATATAAATAAGAGGAAGAATATGACATAGGGGAAAGAAAAATAATGGTGCATATCTGATAAATTAAGTCTTGACAATGCAAGAAAGTTTAAGGTTTATCTTCAATAGGGAGAGAAGTGCCCAAAGCATAACCAGCTGAAGTAACAATCAAATTTGTCCTCCTCATTCTCCCCACAAAATGAGGAGATGGAATGCCTAAAGAAGGGACTGGGGCTGAAGGTCCTGGCTGCAGAAGGGAACCCACTAGCCTATTCACAATGGCCACCACATCATCCTCAGGGAATGTGCCTCCATAAGGCATAATTGTTATCTAACATGTGTGAGGAAATTAGTCACTCACACAAGTAGTAGTAGAAATTACATGAACTAGTGTTCATAGTTTAATGAAACAAAGAAGGAAATCTCATTAAGGTGACAAAGAAAAAACACATCTAACATGTTCAATGCCAAGGAAAAGAATGAAAATTCATGAGTGCAAAACTATAGAAGGAATTAGTGTGCAGGGAGGTTGTGTCACCCTCCTATTGGTGGGGGACTTTTGCTACACAATAATGTCATTATATAGCAATGCAATTCAAGAGAAAACTCATAAGATTAAGCGGTAGTTGCCTAAATGCTAGTGGCATGCAAATCTATTAGGCAGATACACAGGGAAGACAGTCTCAGAAACTCCAAATTCACAGTAATAGGATTTTTTCACCAATTTTTAGTTCTTTTCCAATTAAAACAAATGTAAAAAAAAACAGTATACTTAAAATTCAGCAAAAGGCTTTTCAAACTCACAAGTGTCAATATTCTTCTTCTTCACCTATATGTACTATACCCCTAAAAGCCATTGTTTCTGTTGATGGGTTAGATTGAAATTATTTTTCCAACAGTAAAAATCTGTTAAGAAAATTTCTTAATGTATTTTTCTGGTGGAAACTGAAAATTATAATCATGATTTATAATGCAAATTGACTCTCTATTGTTTTAGTATTTCTTTACTAATTGAATTATATAGGTTTGTTTTCTGATATAATCTTTATCACAATTTCACTAATATTTAAAAATAAAATTCTATATCTTTAGGTGCTAATAAATAAGTTTTAAGGTACTGAACTCTGAAGATGAAATGTTATTCATTACTGAATCAACTTTTTTATCTAATGTCAATTATTCAATTATTTTCACTATAAACATTTTTCTTTGGCACTGATTCTGTTTGTCTAAAAATTGTTTTGTTTGTTTGTGTCTAAGGAAAAGAACAACACAATGGACTACCTGCACCGTGCCCATCATAGGTATCAAACTGTATATAAATGTGTTTTTTTGTGTGTGTATAACTGCAACTCTGACCTCATAGTGAAAATTGTGTTTTTTGTGTGTATAACTGCAACTTTGTCCTCATAGTGAAAAACAAAAAGCAACTAATTACTAGATCGCTGGTGTACCCAATGTTTGAGCATCTTTCCTTTAAATAAATATCCAATTCCACATTTGGTTCTTTGTTTCACACTTCACTTATCAATTTTTATTTTATACTTAAGAAAATCTCCAAATCACCACAAATTTTAAAAAGAACTTATATATATATATAAATACACACACAATCACTCATTTGAAACTCCAATGTACTTATACTAACAGTTCAAATATATCCCACAAAAGCCTATACCTGACTTTGAATCATGTGAAACACATTTTACTCTTCTCTTTCAAGATAGTCCACCATAAAACAGTTCATTACTTCTTACTTTATTAAACAGCTAAGAGCACATAAATAAAATATTGTTTAAATATAGTGTCCCATACATTTACAACTATAAAACATTCACAACTAAACCAATAACTCTGTAACAATAACTGTTTACAACATGTTGCATAATTCTTACTTTTTAGTGCTCTTTTGAACTAATAAAGTATGCCCATCCCAGGTTATTCCATTTTGTTTTTCAACTGCTTGGTTTGCATCAGTTTGATGTAGGAAATGAAGAAACCTAAAATTCAGAGATCAGTACCAAATGAATAGAACGTCTTGAAAGAAAAACACATACTTTTGTAAACAAATGGCTGACATAAAATAAGCAACAATCTAAAAATTTTAGTGGGAATAAAAAAACAAAAAAAAAACAACTAAAACTGACAAAGTAACAATATCAAAGTTTTTCATTTTTCTCAAACAGTACCCTCCTCCACTTAAACATGCAGGTGGTAGCACTGCCTGTGTAGGGATGGCTCAGTTTGTTCATTGAAATGGTATTTTAAGTATCTCTTCAAGAAGTCATCAGAATTTTACAATACTTTAAAGTGTTTCCTTTTATAACAATATCTATATAATAACTATATAATATATAATAATAATCACAAGTTCTGGGAATGTCTGTAAATATCACACCAAAAAGTTTGAATTTCTCGTTCTTCCTTCGTTTCTTTATTATTACACGAAAACTCAAAAACAAAACCATATTAGGAAAATGATAACTTCCAAAACATACATACCTCTGCTAACATTTATAGCTAGAATCCCACAATGTGAAGGCAGAGGGGCCGGTGAGAGCATAGTTCATACAGAAAGTGTCTCCATAGAACAAAGGTGTACCATGAGAAGTGATACCCATGCAGGGAAAACTGCACTACATCCAGAACAGGTATGCTCTTCACCCAGGACTACAGAAAAATGAAAAGGGTGGAATATTACACAAGTAAGTATGATGGGCCAGCCCTAACCATGCAGCCGACGTTCCACGAATCTGGGATGTATTTAAGAGGTCATGGTACCCATATCTCCTTGGTGATAAGAGCAGTTGGACTGCAAATATATATATATCATTGTGATAGGATCCCCACCAGCAGACACGGAATGATGCATGTGAACAACCAGATTTACAAAAGAATGAAAGCAACACCAAAGTGGACAATCCTTTTGATCAACCTGAAGAAGTCCAAAAGGCAACATCCCAGGCTTGGATTGAAGGGATCATATATTCCATACTCCACCCAAGGTCCAGAACTCATCCGGTCTGGATTTACGACCAGTCATTTTCACTCCCCAACCAAGTGGGCAAGGAGAATTCCACTTATCCGTGGAATTATGGAGAGGATGTAGAACACTGTTCCACCAAGGGCCTAAGATGGGACTGGATTGCATTTGGATTTACAAGGAGATAGTGGACCCCCTGCATGAACAATCTAAGACCTGACAGTGTTCATAAGAGGGTCCAAGCACTCCCCCATTGGATAGCTAAGCATCAAATCTGGACAAACTTTATGAGTAGGCTCATGCATTGGTTCGTCCCTAACCTTGCCCTCTTCTCCCAGAGTGGAGAAAACTCAACACTCCAAAGGAAAATCTTCTGTCCACCACCCTAGCAACTGGGAACTGGGTGTGGTAAGGACTCCCTAGGTCCACTAGTATTAGTAGGGGTAACATGTGTACGGTGGGAAGTCCTGAGGAACAGGCCTCTGAAGACAGTGCAACAGGTGAACCACATTCCCTAAGTTTTAAAAGCAAACTGATCTCGACTGATTCAGTGCTAAGATCAGTAGGGACTGGCAAAATCCCCTGTATCATTACTCATGATAGTCCATTGGATTTATATTGTGAAATAATACTACCATCTAGAATTGCATAAAGATGGTCTTATAGAACACCTCATCTCAACAGAGCCTGTTGCAACCATGAACCGATATAAAGGTTGTTAGTGCAGAACTTAAAAAAATACAAGCACACCTGACTGGGCAACACTTGCCACAGAGTGGGATCCAAAGGAAATAGAGAGGGACCCTAGAAGAAAAAACTGTTAGTCAAGTAAGAAAGTTACACACCTACTTGTTAAAATCTAGCAGAGGTAGTCAACACAGCCAGAGAACAATTCAGACAAGGACATTGATAGATGCCACATCTGGTGAGAAGTGATGTGGAGTATATTTCAATCTATAACAGATAAACCCAAACAGGCTATAGGAATCATCTCCCAAAGCCCCCTGGTTAATGTAATGGGTGATAAATCAAGGGACACTGCAGGATCCCACTAAATAAAAGCCCGGTGCATAGGGCCCCTGAACAGTTCCGTACAAGCCACAGAACATCTAAGTGCTCTGACTAGACATAAAAGATCTGGTTATGATAGATTGTAAAGATGAGAAATGTCTTGGAAAAGAATAGGAAAAAAGAATTTATTCCCTTCTCTGGCAGCAAGAGTGTTCAGTTGGAAGGATCTGTCCGGATAGAGCAAAAAATAGGTGGAAGGATAAAGAGTCTACTGAACATGGATGACAAATAAATCAGAAATGCTGCATCCAGATGCTAACAACAGTAGAAATATACCTCGAGGGAAAGGTGATACAAAGAACAGGAGGTCATAGGTTTGAAGGGATAAAGTGATAATGCATGAAATAACAAATCCCAATTAGGCAATTGAAATGGTCGTTTGGGATGAAGAATATGAAAGAATCATAAAACAAGATAGCACAGGAGTCAAAAACCTTTGTATAAATAGAAGGGTGAAAGGGAGCAGAGAAAGATGTTGTATATAATGCAAGGTAGAAGCCAAACCTTTCAAAAATCCATGTCAAAAAACTTGAAACTATAGAAACTGTTGAATGAAGCGGGATAAAGGCTCACTGAAGCCACCACTGACAAACTGTAGTCCATTTCCATCGATAGATTGCCATAGTAGGTTGATGGAGGATATAGTCAAATAAATGGAAACTGTAAAATTTTGAACCCTTTGGTTGGGCAAAGGACTACATAACTTCCATGCATGAAGCTGGAGTCATTAAACATCCAGGTGTTGAATGATGGACTGAGGTTGTCTCAACAAGGATGAATGAAGAGGTAGTGGTAAACATTCCTGGAGCAACTGAAGAAGAGGAAACTATTTCTGAGCAGGTCAAAAAGGTGCTAACAACAGAACCCAATATGGGGTGAAATTAATCACAGGCAAGAGTCTGGGTAAGAGATGAATAGGAGGAAAGGCATACAAATGGAATCCTGTCCAGTCTTGACTGAAAGCATCTATCACCAGAGCTTGTGGATGTGGAATTGGAGACCAGAACTGTAGGCTAGCATTGCAATGGGTTGTAAAGGTGTCTATCATTGAAGAGCCAAACTGAGAACAAATCCATTGAAAGACCACATGATGGAACATCGATGCTGGTGGAAGAATCTGATGGGGTCAAGAAAGGTGATCTGCTGTCAAAATCATAATCCTTTGCACATGACAGGCCAAAAGATGGATGTTATTGAAATGAGTCAAAAAAGAAGATCCAAAGCCTGAAAACCAAGACATCAAGAATGAGAACTTCCCTGATGAGAAAGATATGAAACCACTGTGGAGAAAACAAATGGCTGACATAAAATAAGCAACAATCTAAAAATTTTAGTGGGAATAAAAAAAAAACAACAACTAAAACTGACAAAGTAACAATATCAAAGTTTTTCATTTTTCTCAAACAGTACCCTCTTCCACTTAAACACGCAGGTGGTAGCACTGCCTATGTAGGGATGGCTCAGTTTGTTCATTGAAATGGTATTTTAAGTATCTCTTCAAGAAGTCATCAGAATTTTACAATACTATAAAGTGTTTCCTTTTATAACAATATCTATATAATAACTATATAATATATAATAATAATCACAAGTTCTGGGAATGTCTGTAAATATCACACCAAAAAGTTTGAATTTCTTGTTCTTCCTTCGTTTCTTTATTATTACACGAAAACTCAAAAACAAAATCAACAGTGTCAACCAATTTCACCGAGGTGACATAGTTTCAAATGGAGTATCTGCTTTTATACGTATTATTAACTTGTAACAATTTTTTAAAAAATCATAATACTAGTGTAAATGATGTTATCATTACCCCTTGAAGTTAGCTTTCTTACAGAAATTTGGTGTTCCTTTAAAAAGGGTGAAATTACCAACCAATAATAGATAAACAATAAATATTACAGTTGGAACCTCATTGTATTTAGAACTTGGTTGTAAATACAAACTTCCTATGGCTATTGAGACACCACATTAAGCAAACAACAAGCAAACAAGTAAAGAAAAAATTTCAAAAAAGGAAGTAAATGTAGAGATGGCTGATATCAATCTGTCAAAAACAATGCAAACAAGATAGTAGGGATGGCATTTGCTATTATATAGTGATGATGCAAATGCCATCCCTATCTTGTTTGCAGCAGTTTTGAAGCACTGATATTAGCCATCCCTACATTTACTTCCTTTTTCTACTTTACTTGTTCATAATCCACTCCTTATATGTATCTGTCACAGAAACCATGCCAGGAAAACAACAATAAACATTAAAAAAACAGGAAAGCATAAACATCTGAATTTACATGTAACACACAAATTCATGTGTCTTCGTTAACTCAGTCTTTTCATATACAATTATTCCATATATTTTAATCTCCAAATTTGCCCTCATTGCAGTTAAGAGGAGTATTAAATGCAATCTCTTTGTTGCCTATCAATGTTCATAAGAACTTATTTAGGTGTCAACAATAAAATATGCATAGAAATTTTTAAGGAATTTTTTTTTGTTTTTTTGAACTTTTATAAAAATTTAGAAATAAAACATTATGAAAATTATCTTATGATCTTGTTTGTATGAGAATCAAGGTTATTTGATTGTGACCACCCAGTGTTCTTAAGAGTTGAGTTTAAAAGAATATAAGTTTGCAGTCTTTTACCATCTCCAAAATTGAAAAGAGCATAACAATTGATTATCTGCAATAAAGCTATAAATTCCTTTGTCTTGTCCATGCTTCTTAAATTTTAATCTAATGAGGCAGAAACATAACAAACATTTGAGACAACAAATGGGGAATTCGAGGAAAACATCAAAGTTCAGAAAAACCATGAACAAAACCAAGTTTGTTATTAGTTAGTATTTCTAAAGCGATAAAAATATTATATGGAAAAAGTAAAAAAGAGATCAAAAAGAGATACAAAAAAAACTGCAAAATAAGTCTTAGCCATCTCAGAAGAAAAAAATCAGTTTTTGTCTGTGGACTATAAACATAAAACAAGGTATAATTCTGCACATAAATGTAGAGAAAAGAATTAAAGAATACAAGTACATGTAATTTTTAAACAGCCAAAACAATGAAATATCAACTCTTTCCAATAATATGTAATAATGGCAAGGTTCTTTAAAGTCTTATGGCAATACTCTCTTTAAAAATTTATGTTTGTTACAGCAATAGTTTTTTTATTACTTAGATTACAAGGAAAGTTGTTACAAAAACTAAAACCATGCAGTGGCCTAAAGCATACAACAAAGAAAAATTAATGTATCAAAAATCAAAGATGTCATTAGAACAGAATATTAATTAAACACATATATATATATATACTATAATATTACCTTTTAAATTTAGCATCAAATGTTTTATGCCTAGTGAATTAGAAGTATATTGTCTGGGTGAACAGTACAGAAGCTATTGGACACAGCAAAGATATGTAAACACAAATTAACCAAATGACAAAAAAACATCTCACTTAAAACATTTTGTCAATTAAATTTTATGAAACACCAAATGTATTGTCATGTAGTGGCCATATCAATTGAAAACATTATAATTTACAGCAGATGTAAAAAATTTTTTTAATGAATTAGCACAACAAGAAGCAATACTGTTAACAAAACTGCTATCTTTTGAATTATCATTATATTGATTTATTGCTCAGCCATTTTAAAAAGTATTACCATAGGCTTACATGCAAGTTGAACATTTGCTGAGTCAACATTTTTTATTGTTAACAACTAAAACTGACTGAAGATCAAGGTAAATAAGGTAAATCTGTACATTTAACAAACTAGAGTATTAACTTTTGACACTGAACGTTACAATTAAATACTATAAAAGTCACTCACAGTTAACTGAAAAGGAAAACAATTATAGGTATACCTTGTGAAATTTTACTATCTTACCTGTTAATTAACCCCAAATAAAGCAATAATACACTGTTTGGCTGTATGAATATCAACATACAAAACTGCTTATCATACATATTTCTGTCCTATTGTGTACATGGACATATATTGAAATTTATGTGTAACTTCATAAAATTGAAGAGGAGAAACTATCAAATTTACTGTTACATCATCAATAGTTTGTTTGTTTGTAATTAATCACAAAGCTACAGAATGAGCTATCTGTGCTCTGTCCACCACAGGTATCAAAACCCGGATTCTAGCATTGTAACTCCGCGGACATACTGCTGTGCCACTGGGGGGCGATCATCAATAGAGTAATGAGTTTACTGCACCGAGAGATGAGCTCTGAAAACCACACACAGAAAAATGGGTTAAAATGAGTCTAACAGAGAGTATTCTGTCAACTCATAATATATATATATAACAAAACTATCAAACAAAATGTAAACAATCTAGTGCAAAGAGCTATGAATATAGTATAGCCCACATTTTGAAATTATGAAAATCACAAAAAAAGAATACAGAATACTAAATAACAAATCAGTACATCTGAAAAAAAAAAACATTATACACTTAACCTACCTCCTTAATTACATAAATATTATAATTTTCAGCAACATGTTATGTTTTAAATCAAATAACATACCTTTATACAGGTGTAAACAACAAAAAGAAGGGTATTTAATATTAACTTACGCAATTTTGGATCCATCACCTCTTTTCCCATTTTTTAAATGGACCCCTTCTATCTCTCCAAAACAACTAAACAAGTTTCTAACAGCTTGCTGTAACAAATTAAAGTTTCAAGTTTTATATAGTTTATTATATGCAAAAAATAGGTAAAGAAATGTTTTTTTATATCTAGTAGCTATAACTGATAATTCAGATATTACAGTACATTATTTTAAAAATGGATTTACAATATAATTTTCATTCACAAAACTTATGTTCCATAGAAACATACAACAAAATCTACAGTCACATATTATTTGCTTATATTAACTTTCATGAATAAATTCTATTCTGATAAGGAGGTTAATAATAAAGGCAACACTTAAACAAATAATGTTTATTTCAACAAAATTGGGATGTCTGTAAACCAAACATTTTCCACATTCTTCAAGAAATATTCAATAAATAATTATTATCACAAATGTGTAATAATATAAAAGTAAAATGTATATAAGTAAAATCTGATAAGTTACTGCATCAATGACAGATCACTTTGAATTTATAATAATATTTACATGTAGTTTTAAAACCAGTAATACATACAATTCACCTTTACATACATAATTGAGAATATTTTCAGAAGTTATTCATCACGTAAAAGATACATAATAATGAAATACCTGGTCAGCATGAGCTGGCAGGTTAGCAACAAAGACATCATGTGTTAATCCTGCTTTAGCCATTTTGCAGTGTGAAATCTTCTTTGGAATTATTCTAGTTGTTTTAAACACATGCTAAGCTAATCACCTATGAAAAGCCTCCTGTTCAATATACAAAAGTATACATTCTTATATATTTATGAATGTACAAATACACACAATAATATCCACAAAAACTATAGAAATCTAAAAAGAAAACACAGCACATGATTAGACAGTATTTTTTACAAGTAGAATCTGAATGGCTTTCACAATATTAAATGTCTTAGGAAAACTATTGTTCAGGTAAAAATTAGCTGTACAATAAATATAGTTAAACGTACAGCATAACTCAAATAAAAACGGCGAGGTAAATTACTGATATGTACATTCAGTGCACATGCTTGTTTTGAAATAGCGTTTAAATCTCCAGTATTTGAACTAATAGAACACTAATCTCAGAACATACGATTGAGATATTATGCAACACTCCCTATTGGAAGTTAGTTAGAAGCTCTCACTAAATGTGTAGTAACCATGTTCTTTTGTAAATAATAAATTACCTGACATTAGTCTATTTTTTCAAAAAATTAAATCTAAGATTCCACTGACAATAGTATTACTATTACTAGCATATAAAGCTGGGCAATTTGAGAGATTTTCTAACTGTTTCATCATTGGGTTCATTAATCAATTACATTCTACTATTCTTCCTATTTGTTTTAGATGTTGTTAAAGACAGTTTCCAACTACCCTTCATTTAATATGATAAATAATTTCAGGTACAAAAACTTAGGGTAATGTTGTTCTTTTAATACCAAACTGTTGTATACAATAATGTATCATATATGCAATGCAATATGAAAGTTCACATTTTCCTAAACTGATAACGTATTTCCAATAGATACTAGCTTCTGCCCACAAAATAGCTTTTCTCAATTATTACTGCCCTCTGTCAGTGCACATTTGATTATTTAGCAGCTCTCCACCAATAGGAGTGCAACACAACCCCTATCATAACCATCACCCTCTCCACATTAGCACTTGTTAGTCACTTCGAGATTGGTCAGAAGACCTACACCACATACCACTGGAATTGGAGAGGCTGGGTGAGAAATGTGAGAGGAGTTAAAATATCTATCAGAAATACATTTTCAGTTTAGGAAAATGTAAACTTCCAATATCATATCTTTCCTCTGCTCACAAAATAGCAAGAATCCCACAATGAACTAGTGGAGGGCCAGAGAAAAAAATTATCCTTCTTTAGGAAGTGCCCAAAGAGAAACCATGAGATGTACAACCATAAAAAAGAATATATCACACCCCAAAGGGAGACTTCTGGATGTTAAATGGCTAGGGTACAACAGGTACAGGACTGTACAGATAGTTTAACCTTTTCCAACACATGGCTGCAACTGAAATTGTACCTCAGTTTTGCAGTAGGCAGAGGATCACCTACCTCTTCACCTTGAAATGGGAATTGGTAGGGAAGATGAGCTTCTGTACCAAAATCCATCTCCACTTGCATGCATTTCTAACCTAACCAACACCTGATCCACCGCAAACTGACATCCAGTGGATGGTGGAAAGCCCGGGTGGGATGACATCTCTGGTCCAAAACCTGGCGGCATTGAATATGGTTCTTCTAGTCCACAGTAGGAGGAAGATAGATGTGTATGATTCCAACCATACACATGTGGGAATACAGGTACTGCATCCAACTACAACCAACACCAGATCTGCCGGAAGATGGACCACAAACATGAAGTGCGTCTCCAATTCAAAACCTGGTGGCATTGGGAATTTTCCACCCAATTTGTGATAGGAGGAGGGATAACAGCCAGAACACATACAAGAACTTACTTAGCTGGACCACCTCCAACCAAAACCTGACCCCCCTGCAATATATATATATATAGTCGTGACATGGCAGAGTGCTTCAACCAAAACCTGGTGGTATCTGGAATTGTAAATCAGGTTTGAGATATCGACACGATTATAATCCTGACAGGGCCATCTCAAACCAACCCCAGACCTACCAGGAATGTACATCTGAAGGATGGAAGGAAGGAAGAATGCCACGGTAAGAAAAAGCAATCTGCTACAACCAAACCTGGCAGCAACTGCAACTGTACATTAGGTTCATGGTAGGAAGTGCTATATGCCATCGACACCCACAGAATGCCACCACCCTACTCTCAACTGAGTGGTATGATGCGTCATGCAGGAGGACAGGCCTCCATGGTCCACCAACCAAAAATGTGATGGGAGGTTCCAAACGTTGCGAATTAAGATAAGGGAAGGAAGATCTATGAAATACATAAGCATAATCTTCATATGTACAAAGTGGACGAGGCATACTAACACCTGACCAAGGAAAAGCATCAAGAAATTTGCAAGAAAAAACAAACACATCTATACGGTTCTACTGCCAATTGAAAAATCATTAATGAGTGCAAATGTAGAGAGAGCACAGGTTACGATAAGGGTTGTGTCACACTCCTATTGGTGGATAGCTGCTGCATAATCATTTACATGTGGATATGAAGAAGCAGAAGGTGGAAGGTTAGTGGCAAGCATTGAAAATTTACATGGATAGAGGACAGTACTAATCAAAAAAGCTATTTTGTGAGTGGAGGGAAGATATCATATCAGAACTGGCAACAAAATGAAAATACAATTAATACCTTTATGTGGATTTGTCCTTACAAATTTTCATAAAAGTACTAAAATTAATTTTTTTGTTTAAAATAGCCATCTTAAAATGTATATGATGAAACTGGTAAAGATTTTTTTATCACAGTATATGATAGATAATACACAATTCAGTAAAAGTATTCATTATGATCCTAGAAAAACAGACATTACAACATTTGCTGGCAAGAAAACTTGTAATGATACTAGATGACTTCTTTGCAGAGAATAAAATGATTCATAAGGTTGAAGTTGAAGTATTATAAGAAATATTACAATCATAGAAATTTCAAGAAATCTTTAATCACATACATTTCACAATTTTTGTCTAGTTCCATCATCAGCTTGAAAAAAAACTTTAAAAAATAATTAATAGTTTTATACATATAAAACATCATAAACATTTAAGCATGAATTAGTTGTTTATGACAAAAATTTAGAAAGGATGCTATTATTTAGACATCAAAGGGAGACACAAACAACAGGCATCAGGACACACCTTCACATTTTTGAGTTGTGTACAAGCAGAACACCTGCATACTGTGTAAAGCTGGGCACTTAACTCATTCAAATCATATAATCAATTACCAATAATCATTGATTAGTGCTATGTAAAATAATAAATTAATCAAAGTCATAATTAAATCATTTCATATCAAGAAAATAATTAACTAAGTGATATTACTGTTTCCACTAACTTTTAATTATTTCAACTGTCTTTGTAATAGAATTATTTCAATTATGATTAATCAACATTATTTCTAATTACTTCAGTATTGTTTATCTTAAACGATTAGTGTCACACCTAAGGAAACTAATCAACTAATTGAAATTAGTGTTTCCAATTATTAGTGTTTTACATTGTTCCAACTATCCAAGTCTCACGTGAAAACAGTCAATTAGGTAAATACAATAAATTACTGAGCCCAATCTGATTTATAATTATCAAACTCCACTAATCACCCAGCTCTAATACTATAGCATGCAGTTATGCCAACATACATATAATCTAAGGACAAATGGACCTATTGGTCAATGTAAGCCATTCTATCTACTAAACTTTAAAATGAAAATAAAACACTCAAAGCCAGCCCTTTTCATTCAAATACTTACCAAGCATTCCTTTAAACTACCTCAAATTAACTGCATCTACCACATCTGAAGGCAACCAATTCCAAAGATCAATCACCCTATTAAGCTGTCTTAACTGAAGATGACCTTTACCCTGTCAAAATTTGTGTCTCCTAGTCCTATCACTAGTGCTATTAAGTACAAAAACAATGATGCATCAACACTATCAATATCCTTAACAATCTTAAACACCTCAATCAGATCCCCCTCTAACTCTCCTTTTTACAACAGGAAACATAATTATTAATATCTAATATTTTGATTACTTCAGTAGTTGGAATAATCAAAACAGTAAAAATCAGAAACACTAATTTCAATTAGTTGAGTATCTTCATGGCATTAAATGATTTAACCATAATTTGGATTAACCGATTATTTTATCTCACAGTAATTGATGTAATAATACACATTAGTAATTTATTATAAGGGGTGTTGAAAAATAAATCACATTTTTTTCCCCTAGAGTATAGCAAAGTAAAATAAGATTTTAATTCAATCAAAAAAGTAATTCCAAGTATCAATATCACTTGATTGGGCCACCATTGTTCTCACCCATGAGTTTTGATCGATTTGCAAAAGATTTCAGTAATTCAACAAACTGTTTTTATGGCTGTCTCTGTGAGCACACCAATGAGAACACGAATCAAAGTTTCACATTTGTGTTGCATTCAGGCAAAGTTTCCAACATTTCTTCTGTGCATTGTTGAACGAAAGCTCTGACATTTAAATCTAGAGAGTTCCCAATCCATATTCCACCACTTTTTCATGGACCACTCTTTCAAATTAAACAATTCTGAAACTTTTGAGGCATTAATCAGATTTTTCAAATCTGGCATTGTGATGCGTCGATTGGAAGACTTGAATTCTCGGAGCATGTCTGCGACTAGTTTCTGAGCCATCCTGAAGGCAGCACGTGCAACACAAACCTGAGTTCTAGTGAGCATCATGATACAAAGATTTTGCAAAAAATGAGAATCAAAGAGTCAAACACCCAAGAGCAGGTTGAAATGACGCTTTCTCATGAATGATGATATTCGCAGTCCTACCAAGTTTGTCATTACTTCGGGGAAAAAGTGTGATTTATTTTGCAACACCCCATATCTAGTCAATTTTCCAATTCTACAAGAGTGGTATTTTCATGTAACACTGGATTACTTAGAATGACAGAATAGGTCCACTGTAAAGCAATTCTGAATTTTCTAAGGAGGAAAAGGTGTGAGATTGTTATGGTTTTGTTTACCATTCATTTATTATTCGTTCTATCATTACGTTCAATGAATTTTTAGTTATATTAAAGTGCGAACTCACCTTCTATCTAGAGTATGTTGATTTTGAGCATGTACGTATTATGAAACTGACACAAGCTTCCCCTAGCAGTCATGCACAGACATTAATGTTGTGAAAGATTATGTAGATTTATGGTAATAGATAGTCACATGAAATGTAATCTCGTGGTCTAACCACTAAATGCTTTCCTTGATCTTGAAAATGAGTTAGTTCAGAAGATGTAGTAAGAAAGAATTATTGCTCAATATATTTAATGATCTTGAGAAATGGTTTAGTTTATGAACATTGCATTATTCTCTGGTAAATTAGGTTTTTTCTTATTTTGGTTCTTTTTCCTCGTTCTGTTTGTATTTACTGAAATTAATAGCATTGATATTTATGTTGTATTGTTTATTAGCATTTGTATCTACTCTGGCCAAGCACAGGTTTACCAACTGCTGTTTTGGGAAGTGATAAAATTTGTATTCTAGTTGTTTGAAAGTTTTATTTTGGATTTTTTTACATTTTAATAAATTGCTTTTATTTTATCCTACTTGTAACATTGATTTGTTTAGTCCATTAGAATGTAATCAATTATACTGATTAATCAGCCAACTCTAGTCACAGGTTAAACTTCAAGAAAACATTAATATTTATAGAAATAAATTAAAAATCATTTATGAGTACTTGAATTTAAAAAAGAAAGAGCTAAACTCTCAGTAATCATGTGCCAACTATTTCACTGTTGGACAATCTAACTGAAATATAAGGGAGGTTATAACCTCAAGGAATCACCTGACCTACCATTGGAAATCATCAAATAGTAATTTTGTTGTATCATAACAACTAAACTTTTTTCACTTAAAACAGTATCTTCCATTGGAAAACACTTCTGTTAACATCATTGTATAATGTGCAGTATTACAGCCATACTTTTCATGTAAAGACCAATTGTTATTTCAAGAATATAGCACTTCAGCTAGAATGAAAGCAACTTAATACCTTTCTTGACCATGTGTTATGCAAAAACTGCACATACCAGAATAAGTGACATATTTTGAACACTAATGAAATAAGAAGGTAGAAAAGAATATGTTTTATACCACACTGATGTTAGTAAGATAGTGGAAGAAAGAATTACTATTAATACTACCTTAACTCATAATTACACAACTTTGTCATAAGTTTGACTTTGTCAATTACAATTTTGTCTAGATCAAAGTATAAAATAGTATAACTACTCAAAAATAACTTTGTTTAATAAATACCAATAAATCAAAAAATTCACCAAAACTTCTTGGAGTTATCTTTGAACTCAATCTTTGCATAAACATCATCTTCCTGTTACTTAAATGGAATGATTCACAAGCAGTTCTTGTTTTACAAAAACAAATTTCTTTTTTCTATTATACCACCATATTGCATTAAAATAAAATATTAAGTTATAACACAGAGTTTTTAGAAGCTTTACAAATTAATCTAGTTTTTATTGCAGATGATGTTCAAAAACATTTTTCTAAATATCCCCAATATCAAACCAAAGTTTCTTCTAACTTGAAGTTAACCTTTCAAAATCATGCCTCCATCTGACACACTATTAGTTCACACAACTGACATATGAAGGAAAAAAGCTGTTATCACTATAGTTATATAACAAAACTTGTATTGATGTAAAAAAAAATTAAAATTGATATAATTTGATTTAAAATTATTACTGCTATAAATAGTGCTGTATGTTCTGAAAAAGCAAATTTCATAAATAGATATGTTACCAATTGGAAGAGGAGGGGTAGGTCTGACTTTAACTCTGAATTAAAATATTTGTGATATATTTTTTATTTCTAAGTATCAATTTCAAAAAATAAAACTTTTGGTTTGTAAATTTTAACTTTGACATTTTTTGCAACCATGACAGGATACCAGTTGCAGAGAAAGCATAAAAAAACCATAAAAAGGGGAATTTCCATTGATGCTAATAAAAATGTCAAATGACAATAATGGTACATATGCCTACAGGCCAGGTTTGCTCACAGAACTGTTAAAAGATGTGCACAACCATGACCAAAGCAGTTGATTGGGGAGACAGAAAACCCTTACAACCCCTATATTTATAGAAAACGCCATGGCAAAAAAAAAGACTCCTCAGGTCAAGCCCCACTGATCCCTATATTTTATTCCAACTTTTCTATATCTTGTATGAATTCTGTCACAAAAAATTACATAATCAGTCCAGTAGACTCAGAGATTCATTGTTAAAACATTACAAATTCAAATCCACTACTGAAATAGGGACTGATTTTCATCTTTATTTTTAACTTTATTTAACTAGAGCTTATTATTAGACATTTCTATTAAGATAAATAAAATGACCTGCATCTCTAGAAGCTCAATTCTTACAGCTTCATCAGTCCCACATTGGGCTAATAACGATACATTCTGGAGATAAAGGTTATTACTTTATACACCTGAAGAATAAAATATTAGTCATTAAAGCCAAACCATGAAAATTAATTTTATCAAATGTTAAACCTCACTTTGTTCATAAAGTCACATCTGATATTAGTAGCTGTAATGGCAACATTTATTACAACAGAAATAAATAAGTGTCACATACACTTATTTTATATTACAGATACATTGAAAATCTGGCATTATGTCAACCACTACTGTTTCCATTACATCACTGCCAGCCTAATGAGCTCTAGTATTGGACAAAATACCTATTTAGCAATGGATATAGCAGACAAAGTGTGGATGACATGCATATGGGTATTGTTATATGTTTTTCTTCGCTTTTATTCATAAGTTCTTAGAATTGCTAATGTAGTATTCTCCCATTGATGCTATTGTCACTTGACCTCCTCTTGAAACAAAAAGATGAACTTGCTGGTTCACCATTTCTTCTGAAATGTTGAGTAAAATGAAATAAATAAGTAAATATATATATATATATAATAATAATTATAAATAATTGGTTTTAACATCAGTATATACTAATCTATTATTAATCCTTACCCTCATACTCATCAGTAAATTACTTAAATAAAACTGATTAAAATTACACTTCATCAACTTAATCTAATTCACACACTAACAGTTGTTATTCATGCAATTTCGTAACATGAATACCATCTCATCCACTACTACCACCACTTCAGTCATATCCTTGCTGGACTGATGGGTCCCCTTCAGCAATAACTATAACAGATAGAGTTTGACTGATATATTGAAAAATATTTTTCTTTGCTTCCTCTCATAAGTTCTTATAAATACATTCGACAGTGATTATAAAACACAAGTTTGAGTGTTCCACTTGTTTTCACATGAAAATTATTTTAAAATAATTTTTTTAACATAGAACAAAACTTACTTGTAATATAAAATGATAAAAACCCTATAACCTGAGCACTTTGAACAGGTGGCATACTGAAAAACTTCAAAAAGAAAGGTCCACCTTTCAAAAGTACTCAGGTTATACTTGTTATACTATAGAGTTTTTAATCATTGTCTATTAAGATGTGTTTTTCTGACATTATGTAACTTACTTGCACGTTGTAAACTGTAATCCGTTTTATCTGATTCTTTATCTTCATTAAACCAATTTTTAGCTGTTGTTTTTTAATATTTTCTCAAACCGTAATTTAAAATACTGGGCCTAATTATCACACTGCTCATCAAACATTTGGTAGCCTGTAGGCAAGAGACAACTCGTCTCTAGCCAAGGTTTTTGGCAGCTTCGGGTAAAACACATGTACTATACAATATAGCATGTCTGTTTTAATTTGCACGTTAAAAATAAAATACATATTTATATAAATAGTTATAAAAACTGGTTTCGTAAAGTACCGTAAACAAGTAAAAATATTTAAATATATAATTAAGCTTTGTTTTATTTTAAAATACAAAATAAATTTTACGAGGTTTGCTTTCTCCACGTTACACATACAAGCACGGTCTTTATTCCATCACCAACATTCTTACACTTTACAGTTATAAGTTACAAAATAGTGGTCAACGTAAATGTTTATGCTGGGCACGAATTTTTTTATGTTACTGTTAAACCTACTTGATACAAAGTCTATGAATGGTTTGAACAAGTATATATATATGTATGCATTGGCAAATATTAATTTAAAACTTTAAGTACTACAAATCTGCAGTGATTTTAACTTAAGTTAAACTAATTAGTATTATTACAACTAACCTTCCGATACTATATAGTGGCCACCGTCTACAACCCAAATTAAAACAAACAATATATCTCTCACGTGACGAATTCTAAATCAAATAGTCAATATAAAAGTAACTATGGTTATCACAAGATAATTAAAAATTGTTAATTTAAAAAGGGGAATATGGATCGTCTACACTACTAATCAATTTTAGCGTAGTCAAAATAGGGGCTTAGAGCTTGAGAAAATAATGTAAATACTATTTCCAGCCTAGTTTGTTTACTTTATTTAGAGTTTCTAGTTGTATGCTTGAAAATATAATCTTTGCATTTTGATTCAACTTGTTTCTGTACTTCTTTAACGATCCCTATTCCCCTTTCTAATTTAATTCTTTTTGGTGTTCTTGTTTCTTAAGTTTTTTTATGCCCACGTATTAAGAACAAGTCTGATTTTTTAAGATGGTTTATGCCCGTATGTTCTATTAGAAATTTTGTGAAATTCCTGGGCGAACCTTATTATGAACCATTATCGTGGTTCGTGATAATTTCAAAATTTTAGTTTTTGATTAAGTGGATCGTTTCTTCTTGTGTTTATTGACACTGCGATATAGCGATATATATGATACGATTTAAATTAGTTTAGGTCATTTTTTAAGTAATGCCATTACAACGGCTAAAAAAATAAAATGACCTGTACTTCTTTAACCCTAAGTCTGCGACTTCACCACACTGGAATTGGTGATAAATCTGGGGTATTTAACATACAAATAATTTACCAAAAATACCCAATAATAATAACTGAGATCCTATGAATAAAGACTGCCCTTTTGCGAAGAATAAAGTCAGTAGCGTTTTTCACCTTTTTGTCACTTGCGACTGCAAATTGAAAAGATGTTTCAACTGAATTAATCATATCGATGTGGATATGACCACGATGGGATATTCATTGAAAAAAGTTAACAAGGAGAAGAGGACAAAGAAGGTTTCCAAAAACAGAGTATAGTAAAAACTAGATGTAGAAAGGAGAAAACCTCTTCTTCTTCTTCGAAAGCAAAAACTGTTGTTGCCTTTGGGTTTCACCAAGTGGCCTGAGGCATATGCAATACCAAATCAGGAAGCTACAACTTTAACGTTGGCTATTAGTGATTTCTTCTTCAGATTTGGTATGCCATATGAACTGCATTCAGATCAAGGCCGTAACTTTGAATCAGCTATGTTCCATGAATGCTGCAAGTTGTTTGGCATAAGAAAGACCAGGACAACGCCACTTTACCCACAGTCCGATGGGATGGTAGAAAAGTACAATTGGACACTGGGGCAGGAATTGGCAAAGTTTTGTAATAGTCGCCAAGATGACTGGGATGTCTTACTTCCTCCACTGTTGATGGCCTATAGGACAGCAGAGCATGAAGCCACTGGATACACTCCAGCAAAGTTGATGTTTGGTCGGGAACTTCGGTTGCCAGTGGATCTGTTAACAGGACGCTCACCTTATGAAGAGTTGCCTGAAAATATGTCAGAGTTTATGAAAGTGTTATCGGAAAGGATGGATGATATTCACCATCAAGTGCATTCAAACTTGACAACGTCTGCTGATTCGATGAAGCTATATTATGATAAGAGATCTACTGAAGTCAGCTTTGTACCAGGAGACAAGGTGTGGTTGTTCAGTTGGGATGAAGTGAACAATGGAACAAATGACGCTGCTGAAGATGTGTCATCTTAAAAAGCCAATGTTGAAGAAGAAACTCTACTCGGTTTTGAGAAGGGAAACAGTGAAGCCCTTGATGAAGTTACTACCACTTATGTGACTGTTACCGATGATAGGACATTTCCTGATGAAGCAGATGAACCCCACATGAAACAGAAGCCAACGAGACAGAGACCAGTACCGAAGAAGATTCGTCCCGTGAAATGAAGAGACTTTGTTGAATTTTAATTTTGTGTTTGTAAATTCTGTACATTTAATTAAGTTACTGTTAATTGTTTATTGGTTTAATGTAAGTGGCTATTGTTCGGGACGAACAATACTAAGGATGGGGCAGTGTTACGACAGTGGTAGTCACGTGACTCTGGTAACACGTCATGATATTCTCGAAGGATGGGGAAATTAACAAACGACCAGAGGCGTAACAATATCGTTTGAACGTACAGGTAAGTAATACTATTGTTCCAACGTGTGCTGTCACTTCTATCGTTCAACGGGTTATTTTAGGTATATCTGATAAAATAATACGAAGTCCAGTTCTCATAGCAATGACAAATTAGTTTACTTTTTCCTTAACTTTGCTAAAGACTACTTTCACTTGTCCACGATTGTAGATCTAACTTTGAAAATAACATTTTTACTTTGAACATAAATTATTTTCAAACCAATTAATTAACTTAATAGACAACAAACACTGAATATACGCAATCACTCATTAACTTGAATTCTCATTCACTACTTAAATGAATATTTTACTGAATCATTGAATAACTTCTTGCCCATTTTTATACTAATGTACCATCAAGATCTTAGTTAGATTTGCTAGATCTTAACCTCATGCACCCTTAGCTAACATATAAATTAATATATTGCAAGCATGGTTTATAACATTGCCTCCTTTATGGATTGTGAAGTCCCTTGAACAATCCTAATACAGAAATAAAAACCTACACTAAAATATCCGTCCACCAAGTCTTTTTTTGTGATTTTTCTCTTATGATGTCTATGGTATGCAGATGAGGGTTACATTTTACCTCATATCGTCACTGAAGGATTCCTTCCTAGATAGACTGTTGAGTGAATCCACTAGATGCTCCATCATGGATGATCCTCTGGAATTAGTCTCGACTGTAATCTTAGGTAGGTTGACTTTCCATTGACAACTTCTACTCTGAAGTTACCCAGTTCACTGTTTTCTCGCTAGCATACTTCTAAAGATGATCTTGGTTGGTGACCTTTGGCTTGGATTCCCTGTCCTTCTGGATTCTGTATCCTACGTCATTGGCTCTCTTCATTACAACATATTGAAAGAGCCAACGCCTACCTAATTTCTTTTATTTTTTTGCAATGAGAATTGCTCAGTCATAACATGTCACACCAATGAAATTCAGTCTTATCAGCATTAACATCATATCAATGTTTTATTTTTATTATAAACTGATTTAAGTCTTTCCTAGGTAATAAAAAAAATGAAAACTTTATTGTTCAGATCCACGAGAGCTCTTCCAACCATTAATCCCTCAAGACATGACAGACTTTTTGGTTCTATTATGCCGCAGTCACTAGATGTAGATTTACTCCCCTTAACTCCCTGTATGAATATCTCACTTCTCGGTGTTACAATAACTGTCTCTTGTTGCTACTGAAAGTTCTACCTCTATTGTAGAAATTTCCATCTAGTGCGTAAGTTTTCCTGGTCATAGACTGTGAAACTAATTGAAGCTAGCCTAACCTTGCATCCATGTTTCTACGTGAAATCAGCTCCAATATGCACCCTTCCTTGATGTCATTTACCCATACATCATGAGGCATAGAGAAGTTTCCGATAGTAAGAATACTAACTTTCCTTTACCTTGAACCTTATGCCCACTTTTTTTGTTTTCATCACTCCATCTTCTTTTTAAACTTTAAAAACATTTTAGCCACCTTTCGTTGTTAAATAAGGTCAAACTATTGTAGCTGTAGAACCAGTGCCAATCAACACGGTGCAATGTTTTTCAACAATAAACCCATATACTCGTGGACGGTTGTCCTCAAATAATGAACATCTTATCTCATTTGAAACAGTAGGGTCTTCCTAGCTGCATTTTGTCCTTTAAATTTAGCTAATTTCAGTTTTTCCAATGTCTTGTAACCTCTTTATTGTTCCTTTGATCTGTTTGTGCTCAAAGACTCATCACTAGAGTATTGTCTATTGGCCTTAATAGCAGCTGCTAATTTTTTTCAAACTTGATGTTATGGCCATGTTTCCCATAGTTATAACAGTTCCCTCCTTCTGGTGTTTTCTGGGAGGTGTTCTTTCTTATTCCATACTGACTATATTTTACGGTTTCTCAAAATATTTCTTGTGGTTTATTTCTCCCATTTTGTGCAATTAGCTGTCTGATTAATTATTTCAATTCTTCTAGACTATCAATAAGTGGAAGCTGATGATTCAATACTACAGGATCTGATATTCCTATAACTTCAACTAGATGGTGCCTTTAGTAGTTTATCTGCAGCTTTCATGGATTCAAGTTCCATTGCCAAATGAAAAGCTTTATTTAAAGATATACACTTAGCTTGCTTCAACCTACTTCTCATATCGTTATCAGTTATGGCATCTATAAATTAGTCACATGTCAATGAATCTATCATTTCAGGAAGATCATCCAGGTAAGATAATTAGTCAAGCATTTCCAAATCATTTGCAAGCTCAGCTAAGTGTATAAATTTCTTCTTTTCTATGTATGTGGAATTTTGCTCTAGATACCCCCTTCTGATGTGTCATTCAAATCTGTTGGATAATGCTTCATAGTTACTATGACTCTCAGCTGGAAGATTACTTTATGTCATTAAATCTGGTCCTTTTAAACGGGCAACAGGATTAATCACTTTTTGTTCACTATTCCACCTGGTAACTTGGGAAATTATTTTTAGCTAAGCCTGTTGTACCTCCCATGTCACTTTTCAATCTTATTTAATTGGTTTTTCAATTGAGTGATGCTATGGAATTGTGAAACTATATCTTATAGCAACATAGCTAGGGTAGTCCAGGAAGGTCTTGCAGCAACAGATGGCACAACAACACTAATGGTAATAAACTAGACCAAATAATTGAGTTCTCCAATTCCATATTTTGCAGTAAATGATACTTTACGTTCGAATTTTTGGACAGATGCAGAAAGATGTGTGGATAGTTTAATCTTGGCATTCCTCAATTCATTTCCAGAAGTTTTATTCTGTCACTTTTTTGTACTTCTTGTATTTTGTTATTACATTATTTCCATACTTCATTGACGTATTTTTGTAGTTCTTCAATCATATTGTTATAATTCCTCCATAAATATCCAACTGATTCATCAGTCTTGTCTTCAATTACATTTATTTATGTTCTTATTTCTTTTTTGAATATTTTGTTTCTT